TTATCTGTTTCCAGGTTTCCTCCTTCTAGCCGCCTAGATTTTTCTTTACTTCAGATAATGAATGCTTTACTTCATCATCTTCTCTGCTCATGTTTCAGCTTAACTTAACCTTTGAACATTGGGAAGCTTCAAAATGATTACTTATCCACTTTATCAAGTTGAGCATCACACCGATCCTGCTTGTACATATTCATAAAAACTTTTCCTATAACCGTCATCCCTATCACAACGTTTATTTATCACTAATAAGTTTGAGCAGATTTTTGCTGTACTGGTGTTAAATATAATTATAATATAAATGTAATACTGGGAAAAGTATGGAATTCGTATTGAGATTAAAGAATCCCATTTTAAAAGGTCCATTTGGTTTTTCAAAAATAGTTGTTATCATATAACTTCTTTCTACAAGACATTTAAGTTAGGTTGCTGTATTCAAATTCAACACAACAGCTGACCATACTTGTTCTCCAACTACGTTTTGCAATGCTGAGATGATAGATACATCATATATGCTGCTAGACGATATGCTGTCAAGTTTCCGCTAGATAAGTCCGAAAGCCCTATGGGCATGGGAATAACGGCCGACGCTTTGCGCAGGCTCCAGCAAAGCGCACTATTCCCACCTGTACACGCATATACATCTAAAGCGCGCTGACGTTGGATACAGTGAGCAAGCCTACGCCAGATAGCGCCTTCAGGCGCGGCTCATCTATGAGATACAAGTCTTTGTGTTACTGAGCCCAGAATTTCAAAACAACTGATTTCGGGCTTATCCTAGGACGCAGTAAGCGTAGGAGTGACTCTGAATTACGAGGCTATCAGAGTTTTCATGAAAACACTAAACAAGAACACTGGTCTAAACTGGGGATTACTGTTTGCAGCACAGCTTCATACAAGTTCTATAAGTACATATCTTGAGCGAGATGCGGGCATCCTTCATATATTAATAAGCTTTGTGGGAATACTTCATAAAAAAAGGAACTTTGGAGAAGAAAGAAACAATGCACATGTTTCCTTTTATTAAAAAAAACCAGCTCTCGGATCAGTATTCTGTTCTCGTAATATTCATTCATTTCGCAGCAACTCCGAAATAGTTGCTTGATAATTACATCCACCCATTTCCGTAGAATGCTCACGCTGGATAGCAGCTAACCTTCTTGGTAGTTCGCTGTTTGCACGGATTACTGAGGTTAATCCGTAGTATCAGTTATATCGGAATCAGTCATATCTCTTCATTCATTTTAGGTGGTTGCTTCTTATAATCAAACGGCCTATCACTGGTGCATTCCTGTCCATCATTTGTATAGATAGGAATTTATTTGAAGTGTCTTCTTGAAAAAAATCTCTGCATTGTTTTTTTTTTGCCATGACGTTCATTTTTTCAACAACAACAACAACAACTAATTTCATTAAAGTAAAATTCTTGTTTCCTGCGTGCATTATCGTTAGCCAGGTGACGTTTCCATTATTAATCATTAATCAATAAAATTTTCACTAAAATTAGATTTTTTCTCAGTTTTCCTCTGCTTACTTTTCTGTTTCTAATTTATTTAAAAATTTATTACAGCTGGTGGATGTCTCTGTTGTTGAACACGTTGAAGGAGATGCATGTCGTTTCGGTCTCCGTGTATGTATTGCGTTCTAAGATTACACTTCCCTTGCATCTATGTTCTTATTTCTTGAAGACTGTTTAGATTGGGACCGTTGCGAGTAACGAAAATCGCATCGATTTAAGAAGTGCTCCGCAACCGAAAGAAGAAGTCAAAATCATGTGGGTGAAGCGCATTCGTGAGCTCACGCAAGCGTTACTTCCTCTAAGTAAGTTCACGTTGTTCGATTCATCCAAACATTTTAATCTCATTTTTTTGTTTATTTTTATCGCAAATGATTATTTGTTAAAGATCTTGGAGTGGGGCTAGAAGGCGTTCCGCCATCTGGTAGCTCGTCATCGGTGCCATCCGTATCAGCACGGTCATCCAAGGATTCCGCCGATAACGAAGAAACCTCATCACTTGATTCACAGCGACTTTCCCTGCAAAGTGTAGACAGCAACCAGGTTTGTTCAACCAGGGTTTCAATTAATACATCTCTAATTATCAGCTCTACGCTTGAGCCTTTATTTGAATTTTTATCTGCACTTGTTCGAAATACTCGTTATCTAAGTCTTATTCATAAACTCATTTGTACTAAGTTGGCCGAAAGTCTTGCTGCATTCTCGAATTTTTCAATCAAAACTTGAGTTATAACACTAACAATACTTCGTCTAATAGTAGTTTGTACAGCCAATGATAAAAGTAGTAGTTAAATAGGTAATAATGGGGATTTTCAGCCTCTTGTCAATGTCACTAAGTCACACTTCTAGAGAATAGAACCTTTGGCTCAATCCAGTGTCAGGGAAAACAGATTGAACAGAATCAAATTTAGTGGTTTCCGCCCGGCCATCATGTTGTTATCACAAGCCAAACAGAATTTGCATTAATCGATTTCTTCGAGAGTACCTTTGATGCAAGCACATATGAAAGTGACTAAATGAAACCGGTTAGTGCCGCAGATAGGTAGGCGGCAGCCTAAAAA